TGTTCTCTGGATTCTCAAAACCAAACAAATTAAATTTTATGTTTACCCAACTCAGAAAAAAAAAAAAATCTAAGTGAAAGCCACCATCAGTGCTAAGATTTTTTAAATTCTTGCATTCACTTGTCTATTCTGGGTGCTATAACAGAATACCACACACTGAGTGGCTTATATATAAGAGGAATTTATTTCTCACAGTTCAGGAGTTGGGGTAGCCCAAGATCAAGGTGCCAGGATATCCAGTGTCTAATGAGGGCTGGCTTCCTTGTTCATAGATAGCTGTCATTCTGCTATGTCCTCATGTGGCAGAAGGGGGCCAAGGAACTCTCCAAGGCCTCTTTTATAAGGGCACTAATCCCAGCCATGGGAGATCTGCCCTCATGACCTAATCACCTCCCAAAGACCCAATCACCAATACGCTCACATTGGGGGTTAGGTTTCAACATATAAATTTGAAGGGGTACAAACATCCAGCCCATAGCACTTAGTTTTTGACCTGCATATTTATTATTGTAGTTCCATATCCTTGATGCAGGTAGGGAGAATTCTTAAAACATTGCATTCAGCTTTTGCTGTTTTTATCAAGAGAATTTTATTCCTGGTATTTACTCTGACATATTGAATGTAGCGGTTTTAGCGTGAGACCTACCAAACCATGCTATCAACTATCTATGTGATTATTAGCATATTACTAACCTCTGTGCATCCATTTCTTCACCTATAAAACCATAAAGCAGAATCTACTCAATGGAAAGGATGTCATGAGATAATGAGATAGTATATGTAAAGTATTTACATAGCATCTGGAAAATTTTAAGTGTTCAATAAATGTTGGCAAACAGAAGCAGCAACGTTATACAAATAACATAAATTGACGCTGTAGTTTAAAGATAACAAGAAGAGTTGTTGCTCTGAGACTGAGCCCAGCCTCAGTCACTGATTTTAACAGATTAAATGGCATGGTAGGAGCAGAGATTTGGCTGAAGTTAAGGAATGATTGTGAGCTAAGGAATTGGAGACTATCATTATAAAGAAATTTTCTGAGGAACTTAACTGTGAAAAATAGGTATGGAAGTTGTAGGGCTAGTGTCAGAAGTATAGATTAAGTAGAAGAAAAATTTCATTTTGTTTTAATGAGAGAGAAATAATGTGTTTTATAGTATATAGAAGAAAAGGTTACAAGGACAAAGATACATAGTGTTAATGAAGCATTAAATGCAGAAGAGACAGGAGTGAATCAGATCGTGGGATAAGAACCTTTAGTGGGAGAAAACGGACAGCTGTTCCTCTGAGATTTGAAGAAAGTAGTAAGAGTAAGAATAGATATGGGTGGTTTATTTAGTTACATGATGAAAATTGAGAGATTTCACATTCGATATTCTCAATTTTTATGTGAAGTAGAGCTTCCTAATCTCTGAAGAGGACTGAAAGGATATGTGAACTGAAAAAAGATTGAACTTTTGGAGTGTGAGAGAGAATGTATAAGTATAGCACTCACTGGAATTTTCATCACTCACTGGTTAGCTTACTATAATAGTCAAGTATACATACTTCAGGGAGAGGGAAGATTTGAAAAAAATGCTAATGATCCTGGCAACCATCCTCACTCCACGAGTACCTTCTGAAACGAGATCTTTGAATATCATGTCCATTCAAAGAAATAGAAATTGAAATGGAGCCACTACTGCACAACACATATATGACAGTAGGGTTTTATGTTTTTTTAAAAAGGCCAGTAAACATGAATTTTTAAAAACTGTATCTCATTTTTGACTATTTGCTTCAAATATGCTATGAAAAAAATCATAAAAGAAAATAGATATTTCCAAATTAAAATAACTAACTCCAAACTTTAACTTTTGCTTTAAATGATTATTTGTTTTAGAAAAGGCATGTTGAAAAAAGCACTTTAATCTTTTAAGATGAAATATGGCTATTTTGTAGTTACCATAATTTGATAAACCAGTAATATTGTTAAGTGAAATTACTTGTTTATTGAAATTGGAAGTTAATCAGTAAAAACTGTGTAAGGTAATTTAATATACCAAGCAATCACTATGATTTTATGATAACTATCTTTTCTGTGAAAATGATTTTTTAATAAAATATAAATGCTTAGAATCTTACAACACAACAGCCAGGCATGGTGGTGCATGTCTATAGTCCTAGCTACTTAGGAGGCTGAGGTGGGTGGATAGCTTGAGCCCAGGAGTTTGAGGCTACAGTGAGCTACGATCGGGCCACTGCCCTCCAGTCTGGGAGACACAGCCAGACCCTGTCCCAAAAAAAACCAAAAAAAAAAGGAAACTTACAACACAAAATTGAATGAAAGAACCCAGAAGACAGGAAACAGAACATATTCTATGATTCCATCAATATACAATTAATAAATAGACATAACTAATTAATGATGTCAGATCAGGATAGTGGTTTCCCTCAGGAAGCTGGATTATGACTGGAAGTGCACGAAGTACTTTAGGGGATGAAGGTAATTTTTTGTTTCTTGATGTGGATGCTGGTCACTTGGATGTGTTGTATTATGTATGAATGTGTGTATTATGCAAAATGTTGAGCTATATATTTATCATTTTTGCACATTTTGCATATTTTTATACCTCCATAAAGCTTATATTAATAGTAAAAAAAAATTCGTTTCAGGAAAATTCCTAAGTTAACCAGAACTTAGAGAATAATATGTAACCAAATATGACTTACTTGACATCAGTCCCAAATTTGCTTGTTAGTAAGTAGAAGAAATGTCCTGGATTCCTTGATTCAGATGCTGCTCTAATTTTAGTTAGAAATATACTTTTTATTTCTTACGTTATCCTTTGTCAAATGAATAAAAACTTTGTGGACCAAAGCTTAAAAAGAAAAATTTTGATAACTGTTTTTCTTTCTCTGTTCTTTTTTCTTTCCTTTAAAAGAAAGGACATTTCAACCTAATGTTGAAATCAAATTATTATACCATTACTCTAATGCCAAAACTGACATCTGCCATGATGTAAACCATATAAGCCATCTAAAATTATGAACTGATAGTTTGAGCTTGTCCTCTTCTATAGCTGAGAATTTTAACTTAGAAAATTCATGAAATATGTGATCCTCAAGTGAAATATCTAGGTTGCTTAATTTACCTTTTCTAACAAGTAGATAGTATTATCCTGAAATGTTTTAAATGGTTCAGAATATATAGAGAATTTGAAGCTAAGTCAAGCTCATACTGTACCTTAATGCATATTTGCTATTGTTTACTATTGTCACTATTTGTATCCCAGCTTTGCTACTTACTATGTAGACTTTGGTTATTTAAATTTAATTAAAATTAGAACAACTTAAAATTTCAGTTTCTCGGTCACATTAGCCTAATTTCAAGTGTTCATTAGTCGCATGTGGCTAGTGGCTACTGTATGGAACACAGCAGATTTAGAGCATTTCTATCATTTCAGAAAGTTCTATTGGACAGCACTAATTTGTATAATTAAAACAATACATTCCTCAGACTTTTTTCTTATTGTTAAATAAGATTATTTTTGTATGATTCTTAGCATTGTCATGGCAAATCACAAATGCTTACTATATGATACTTAACAATAATAGCATAGGAAAAATAAGAATAACCAGATAATGAAAATAATAGTAATGGTAATGGTAAATGAAAATATATAGCTTACACATTTAGTATCATGAATTAAGTATATTTAACCTTGTGTACATTTTCTAAGACTCTTCTATCCATCGTTTCTTTTCCAGATATTTCACTATGAAATAATTCTGAAGGTGGCATTCTGAAAATTTTTCCCTAAGTAGAAGTAATAGAGCCAGCCTAATATATTATGCTCACCACTGTATTTAAAAATAAATTTAAAAAATTCTAAGCAACTAGCTACCCCTTTTTAATTCTAAACAGTGAGAAATTTTAACACGTAGATCATAAGTACTTGCCAACAGATACAAATCTGGTTAATCAGTATAGAGGATGATTAAAAAAGAAGTTGTGTAGTATTCCAACACTCTCTAATTATGGTATGGCACTAATTAATTGGGATCCCTTTATGCATCTTTAAATTTATTTGTTATCACTCTGAACTTTGATTTACCTTATTTCCATTTGTGATATTTTACTACAGTCTTTTATGTTTATTCCCTTTAGGCCAAATGCTACATCGAAAACACAATCACATGGTGTGCATAGCTATTACACCAAGACAATTCTTAGGTGGACAATCAATCCCATCCTTCAGCTAATTGGGATCACCAACCAGAGTTGAACTCATCAGATATGGAAATTTAAAACTTGATTTATTGACTCTGTTAGTGTCCATGACCTTTTTAATTTTTTTAAATTCACAAATAATAATTGTACATATTCATATGGTATATAGTGATGTTTTGATATGTGTAATGTATAGTGATCAGATCAGAGTAATTATTAATAGCATATCCATCTCAAACATTTATCACTTATTTCTGTTGGAAACATTCAATATCCTCCTTCTAGCTATTCAAAAGTATATAGTATATTATTGTTAACTATAGTTATCTTCCAGTGGTATAGAACACTGGAACATATTCCTCCTATCTGGGACTTTTGTTAAATGAAAGAAGCCAGGAACAGAAAGTTAAACTAAATGTTCTCAACTGTATGTGGAAGCTAAAAAATGTTGATCTCATAGAAGTAAAAAGTAGAACAGAGGTTACTAGATGCTAGGAAGGAGAGAGGGAAGGGAAAACTACAGAGAGATTTGTTAAAGGATACAAAATCACATCTATATCCTTTACTTACAGTTAAGTAATCATTACCATTCTAATAACATCCATTCAACACTGTGGGGACAAGGTTTATAAATCTGCATAATAATATTCAGAATAAATAGACTTTTAGATGCTCTTTACTATGTCATTATTACATAAGAAACATCATCAGTCTTAAAACAGAAATAAGCCCTTTAATAAAGATTATTTTTTCCTTCTTATTTATAATCTCTATTTTTCCATCCTAGGCTACTGATAAAGATACTGGCAATTACAGTGCCATGGCATACAGACTCATAATACCACCAATTAAAGAAGGAAAAGAAGGATTTGTGGTGGAAACATATACAGGGCTTATCAAAACTGCTATGCTCTTCCATAATATGAGGAGATCCTACTTCAAGTTTCAAGTTATCGCAACTGACAACTATGGGAAGGGACTGAGCGGCAAAGCAGATGTACTTGTAAGTAGATAAAACTTCAGGAAAAGGAGGTACATGCAATGCTAGCCAGGGGGAAGTGTTTTTCAATTTAAAAAGTTTTAAGATTAATTTAAAACAGGTTTTCAAAAATATAAAAGTTATTAACTTTCATCCAGATTGTTAATTGCTATAGTTTTGGATAGAAATACACACATGGGCTTATGTGCACACACACACATACACATATATAGTATTGCTTGATGTTTTTTTCTCTTTGAACTTTGGGAAATATATGATTGTGACAGCAATGTTATAAACATTGGGTTTATATTTGGTTTGCAGATCTCATTTTTAATAGGATTGGCTAGAGCTACATACAACTTCAAAATGTTTCACAGAGTTGTGCTATAGAAACCAAAATGTATGAAATTATTACAGTTTAAATTACTTTTAGCCTTTTAGAATTGAGAAAACAAAAGGACATGTTTTGAGGCAAATTTATGTTCCAGAAGATGTGATTTCCTTCTTTTATCAAAATCTCCTTTGAGGGCATTGATGATCCTTGACTAAGTTACATTTGGCCACAGTCAATATCACTTTTCTATTGTAACTTTCACTTAGACTGTGTACAAGTTTGATGATAGATCATTTAAAAGGACAGTTTGGTACTAATTTTTATTCAAAATATTTAACACCAATGTGTATCTGGTGTACTCTCTACTAACTTGGACGCATGGGTTATTTGGACTTTTCTCTGATAAATTGAATGAAAAGTATAAATAGAATTATTATTGGAAATATTTGTCACATAAAGACAGATCAAGTATAATTTGTCTTTTGTTCATTACATCTTAATCATCTTAATAAATCTTCATTTTTCACAGTTCTCCTCATTTAGTTCTCTGGACAAATTTAAGCTTCATATACATGCAGACATCAGTGATCAATTTTTTTTCTTAGATAATAGTGAAGACCAGCCACTATGATTATCGTGGGCATGAGGACAAGAACAGTTCTCCAACAACATTCTCATTTGTAACAGTAGAGCTGCAATAGAATAAATGAAGGCTAATCTAAGCCAAGAAACTTTTGACATAGAAGATACTAAGGTTGATAGAGATTTTGATCAAATTAAGATCTGTAAACCTTATATAAGATAATGCCATTTTTTTCCTGTTATTTAAAATATTCACATTGTGATGCTTATTTGCTACACAATAAGATCGCCACACTAAGTATAATTAAAATATTATAAACATCAACATAAACAAAATATAACTAGATGTTACTTACACAATATGTACATAAACAATATGAAATTTATGGGTTTTTAAAATTTTAATTTCATACTTATTGTGTCCAAATTTAAAAATATATCTTTAAAGTAATTTAAAATATATTTACAAAGAAAGAAATTTAATTCAAAGAAATTGTCATATGTTTTGTTTATAAATATATATATTTTATTATGATGAAAAATAAGAGCATCAGGGAAGCCATTCCAGCAAAATATTTCCGATAAGCTCTGAATTCCTTTTGTTATGGCAAATATTACAGTGACCGGTCCCAGGGAAATAACCAAGCGGCATGCAGAGAGTTGGAGAGTCATTGTTTAATCTCTTAATGCCAGCGGGCCCAGAGGAGACAAGTCTCCAAATTCTGAGCACCTCTTCTGGGTTTTTGTCAAGTTTTATACTTTTTTGGGGGGTTTAGTCTTATCCAATAATACACACAAGCATAAAAGTTAACCAATTAGTAAAAGGATTAAAAGTTAGCCAATTAATAGCAGTTTTTACATGCAGTACAGTTATGATAGGCTTATAACAAACAGTATAGTTATGATAGGTTTACAACAAGCAGTACAGTCATGACAGGCTTATAACTCTGCTTAACTGTTTTGTGGTTTCAGCTAGCTGGTGCATATTCTACCTCCTTGCTTTGCAGTTTTAAGCAGAACTGGCATGGAAATTCCCGAACATTCCCCACTTTTGGTGCCTTTAAAGCTATATAATGGCATCAACTTTAATAGGGTAGCTGTGCAGGGCCATCGCACAGGTGGTGACTGCTGCTCGAGCAAGTTCTTGAAGCCATTTCTGAGAAACTGTATTAGACAAGGGGCTAAAAGATAAAATGACCTGACTGTTATAACAGGTCCTAAGAGGGACAGTAACTATACTATTAGGGGAGACTGAAACCATGCCGCCAACGAGGTTTTATCTTGATAATAGCCTTGTAGCTCTTTTCTAATATTATTTAACTGTTGTATGTTTTCTTTAATTAGCTCAGATTCATTGACATAGTAACAGCATTTTTTTTAGAAAAACCACATGTCCCCCCTGCTACCCCCACCCAGCTGCTAAGGATATGGTTAGAGTGAGCCCGACCATAAGTGGAAGAAACACTGTTCTTTTGCTCCGGGTATTTTTCAACAGCAGTTCCTGTAATTCTCCTTAGCTGTAAAGCATTATCTGAGGGACTAATACACTGGGAAGCACGGACTCGTGTACGTTTTATTGATATACCGGGTAAGGGGCCGGTTACACCAGAAGTAAGTTTCCTTATTGGAGCATATAGTCTGGCTCACTGTTTGATTGATCTGGCAATATCTGAGATTATCAGAGCTTGGAGGGGTTTTATAGAAATGGCTGTCACATAAGTTTTCAAAGACTCCTGTCTGCCATCACTGGTGTTCTGGGTCTCTTATTTTAAGTATGTAGGGGCCCCCTTCCTGTTTTGAAGGTGAGGGTCCCAACAACCTCAACAATGACTAGCACATAAAGAGACATCTTGTTAAGACCCAGTAAAGTACAGTTACAACAATTTTGTTAATCTTAGTATAGTCCTTTGGGGCTCCGGCCCCAAGTCCAAGTCCCAGTAAGAATGTTACTAGTCCAATAAAAGCCCAGCCTAGTGGGCTTATTCAGTCCGGCATCTCTGGTGGTTCCTGCTGGTTGTTGTTAGTCTTGTCAGGCTGGCTCTTGAGCTGGATCTTCAGTGGGTCTTGTGGGTCTGGTTGTTCTGTCTAGTAGTCGAACTTTGCCCTCTTCACTCAGGAGTGGTGGATCCATGGCACTAGACCTGTAACCATAACAGCAGTGGGGGTGACTAGTACTACGGTATGAGGTCCTGTCCAGGTAGGTTCTAAAGGCATCTCTTTCCAGTCTTTTACTCAGACTAGGTCCCCAGGCTCATGGGAATGGACAGGGATTCCCAAGGGGACCGGGCTTCTTTTTAGAACAGTTTGATGAATGTGAGCTAGGGTCTTGGATAGGGCTTGAAGGTGCCTGTTTAGGTTTAGTTCCTCTAGTTGTCTAGTATCTCCCTTTAACTGTTTAATGAGAGGGGGTGGTCTATTATATAGGATTTTAAATGGTATATACCAGGAGGGGCTGGGGGTACACCGAACTCGTAGTAGGGCTAGATTTAACATATCTATCTATGATAGCTGTGTCTCTTGACAAAGCTTTGCAAGCATAGTCTTGAGGGTTTGGTTCATGCGCTCTACTTTTCCTGAGCTTTGTGGCCTGTAAACTGTATGCTGTTTCCACTGGATTCCGAGTGCCTTGGAGAGAATCTGCGTGACCTCTGCAGTGAAACTTGGTCCGTTGTCACTGCTAATAGAGAGAGGCAGTCCATAACGGGGGATGATTTCTCTTAGCAAGAGGTTTGCTCCTTCTCTGGCCTTTTCAGTCCGGGTTGGAATTGCCTCAACCCATCCAGAGAAAGTGTATATCAGTACTAGCAAATATTTGTATGCCTAGCTAGGCTTGACTTCTGTGACGTCTATTTCTATGTCTTCAAAAGGGGATACCCCGGTGTACTGGATTTCTGGAGCTGGCTTTGGCTTGGTAGCTGCATTGTTTTTAGCACACGTTTGACATCTGGTGGTAACAGTCATTGCTATAGATGGAAGTCTAGCTATACAGTAATAACAGGTGAGCAGTTCCGTGAGAGCTGTTTTTCCCAGGTGAGTTAAGTTGTGGTACCAGGAGACAACAGGATAGGCTACTTTACTGGGAATGAAGATGGTTTGGTTGGGCAGGTGCCACCATCTGTCTGCGTCTTTGCTAGCCTGTTTAAGTTTTGCCCATTGATCCTCTTCTGCTGCATATCTGGGCTCTTTGGGCCATTCGGGTGCCAGCAAGATCTGGCTCTGTGTGGCGTTGTCTTCTGAATGTTCCATTGTGGCTGCCTGTTTTGCTGTTTGATCTGCTAGGCGGTTGCCAATGGCAACCGAGTCTGTGACTCTTTGGTGGCTTTTACAGTGGATGACTGCAACTTCCTTTGGCTCCCATACCACTTTCAGTAGCTGTAGAATTTCACTTTTGTTTTTGACTTTTTTTCCTCCTGCAGTTAGCAGCCCTCTCTTTGTATATTGCCCCATGAACATACACTGTGGCAAAGGCATACTTAGAGTCTGTGTATATGTTGGCTGTTTTGTTCTGAGCATATCTGAGAGCTTGGATCACGGCCCATAGTTCTGCTCTTTGTGCCGACCAGCCTTGAGGTAGCCGGGCTGACATGACAATCTCATCTGTTGTGGTGACAGCATAGCCAGCAAGGTGTTTATCTCCTGGATAAAGCTGCTTCTGTCTGTGAAGAGGTTTAAGTCTGATGCCAGTAGTGGGCTGTCTTTTAGGTCTGGCTGACTAGCGTAGACTTCCTCTACGACCTTGGCGCAGTTGTGGTCTGGGGGCCCTGGTGCAGTGGGCAAGAAGATGGCAGGGTTTAGGATCTGCACAATGTCAATGGCGACTCTTGGTTTTCACACAGTAGTCCTTGATACTGTGCTAACCAACTGCTGGAGAGCCACCAGTGCCCTGAAGCGTTCATCAGGGAGACCACTGCATGAGGGATCCGCAAGTGGATGTTTTGCCCAAGCGTAAGTTTGTCTGCGTCTTTAACTAGCAGGACGGTGGCTGCTAGCACCTGGAGGCAAGGGGGCCATCCTGAGGCCACTGAGTCCAATTGCTTTGACAAGTAAGCTACCGGTCTCTGCCAGGGTCCTACAGCCTGTGTTAGGACTCCCGGTGCTACTTGCC